CACGGGAGCCGCTGCCCTTTGCTGAGCCCGGTTGCCAGGCACTTGTGTGTGCGTGTCGGGGGGCGGGGCTATGCGTCACCCCACTTAATTCTCAGGAGGCCCCCGCTTCACAAAGGCCCAGGGGCTTCGGGGATGGCCTGGCTGCGCAGCTGGCACTTGGCGACTCCGGTGCAAACGCGGGTTCCCGGCTGCTCCCTGGAGTTTGTCCACCGAGATCTGCCAGGCGCCCAGTCGCGCAGGGCCGAGCAGAGATGCAGCGCGTCCCACCGTCGAGGGAGAAGAGCCCGAAAGGCCCAGTGCCTGTCGGAGCCGGCGCGGCGCAGGTGCAGGTTGGCTCCGTGGCCGCGTCGTCTTTAATCCTCCAGGTGAGAACCGGCTCGCAGTCACAAGTGATGATAATGACAGTAATCATGGTTTGTATCATTACTGGTTCTTAAAGAATTCTGGACTTAAAATCTTTATTCTTCCTTGAAAGAAACAATTCTGAATTTCGAATCCTTACTCTTTAGGGAAGGAAACCTCAACACTGTTCATTTAGATAAAATCTCAATATAAGTTTGAATGCCCGTGTCTACTTTTTTAATTGAGACTTGCTTTGTATTTTTAAATAACATTCTCTTTAACTGCGTGAGACCCTGGAATGAGAGCAGTCAACAGGAAGCACAGAAACCAAAGGCAAAAAAATCTCAGCTCCGTTCTCTCAGCTCCGCGGGGCTCGCGCCAGACGCGCCGCGGGGGAGCCACTGCGCCCCGACTATCAATCACATTAAAATAACACACAAAGCGCACAGGGCGCCCGTGAGCACTGGGAGGAATCATCTCCTCGGCGCGGGGGCAGCAGGCGCGCACATCTGCTGAGGACCCGCTTCCCTCCCGATGCCCATCTGCTGGCGGCTGCGGTAAACACGGAGCGGCCTGGTTTTGAAATATCTCCTCACGCTAGTGGAAGTGACAATATGGTTAATTGAACTGTCAGGTGTGACCGCTCTTCATCACGGGCCTCCTGGCAGCTGAAACTCCTTTTCTGTAAGCGAATCGTGCATAGCACGCTAACGTATTGGGAGAGCTTTGACACATGTCTCCTGTGAAACTCAAAGAAGAAGACACCACTAAAAAACTTAATGCAATGAAAGTTTTAAAATCCATTCATGTTTACATTAGGCTTAGACATTGTCCATCAGAAAATGTGATGCATGAGGGGAGGTTTCCAAAAGATTGGCCACTAATCCAGCTTCAAGACGGACAGAAACCAAAATGAACATTACACTCAGGCCTTGTTGACAGGCCACACGCAGTAGCTTTATCAACTATTTAAAACTTTAGTATAAAGTAAATTGTCATCTCAACATAAGTTTTTAAGCATATGAATTAGCATAGAGACTTTACCCATTAAATAGACTGTGCATTAAGTTAAATTCTAGGGTAGAGTTTCATTTTGGATAGTAGACGTACATGCAAATGTATTCCTTTCTCTGCCGTGTATAAAAGAAGATAACCGAAGGAAACACGAATGTTTATGTCTGGATTTGTAAAATTTCCACCGCTGTAGAAAGTAGTCTTTTAAAGAAAAATGGATGGTTTCCTCTCAGCTGGGAGGCAGAAAGGGCTGGCGAGCTGGCTGGTGAAACCTATCAGAAAAGAAACGGTTCATTTGTGCATCTTTGCATGCAAACTTCAAAAGCCCTTGGCTGGACGCCGCAACCAGGCGCTGTAGGCTGCGCGCTGCTTGTCGGCCTGCTCGTGCCTGTGGAAGTCAAACAGGACAGACACGCGTGGATCTCCCCGGAACCCTACTGTGCCCCAGCCAGCTGTGCGCGGCGGGGACCGAGGCCTGTTCCCTTCGCTCGTCACCGTTTTTATCCAGAGGAGGCTTGAAGGCGCCATCGGTTGCATCCTACGAAGTCATAGGGTGGGACCAACTCCATTTCTCAGGGCTGCAGCAGTGCTTCGCATTTAATTTTTTAATTACTTAGGAAATCAAAGCAGAATTGTTAAGTCTAAAAATAACAGAATTGCCAACTACCACTGCTAGAACGTCTCCTAAGCTAACACTACTTGGGTCATGCTTTTTTTATAGTTTTCTTTCTCTCTTTTTTCCTTCTTCCCTTCCTTTCTCTCTTCCTCTCTCCCTCTCCCTACATACATGTGTGTGCGCGTCACACTTTTTGTATCATATTTTATGATTCATATTTTATTTTGGAAAATGTCTTTTCTCCTACAATCCTTTGGATCTATGGTTCTTTTTAATTCTTATGAAGTATTTGTTAGTACGACAGTACATGTTCCAAGTCTCCCATCGAAGGGTTTCTCTGGTGCTCCGGTTTCCCGTGCGCAGGCGGGCGGTGCTCACACAGAAACTGCAAACCCTGGGAATCCACAGGGAGGAGACTTTAAGACGTGAAATTACTCGGCCGTGCAATGCATGCGTTTTAAATATTCCCACAGAAAGTGGCGGTCAAGTTCTATGACCGCCTCCAGTGTGTAACATAACTAACTTCAAACTGTGTGCCAGATGGATGGTAAAAATGGTATCTTCTACTTATAATGACTAATTCCTTCTCAGCTGAAGATTGTCCAATATGTTTATTGACCTCTTGTATTTACTTATTAGTAATTGCTCATACTCTTTATTTTCCATTGCGTCATTTGTTCCTTTCCTTTTAATTTTCAGCAGTTTTTAGATGTTCTGGGCAGTAATTTTACAATGCATGCTCGCTCTCAGCCCTACTTTTCTGTCATTTTTTGTTTGCTTGTTTGATTTTCTAGCTAGCATGCTAACTATTAGGCTTTAGAATTACAGAGAACGTGAGCGGAAAGCACAGAGGGTCCCTACATGCCCCTCACCCAACACAGCCTTTCACTATATTTTGGTCTTTGTGGCATTTCCGGGAGCTTTTGATTTAGATGTAACCTTATTTCCAAATCTTCTACCGTATAATCGTTGCTCATTTGTTTGTCTAATTTAAGGAAGTCTTCCCTATCTAAGCTGTTTAATCTTATGTCTTATATTTTCTTTTCATTTTTTACTGGTCATCTTATGTTTGCTTCCGTGGCTCAAATTCAAACCACACCTCTTCCCAGTTTCCCTGCGGCCCCGCCCCCGCGCCCCCTGCAGGCTCCGCTCAGCAGTGCTTCTCCCACCCGGTGGTCTCTCACTTTCCCAGGCGCAGGCTTTCCTCCAGTGCCTTTCTGTGGTACTTAACAGACTGGAGACAGTATCACGTTTGTCTCCGGAGTTTCCTCCTCTGCATACTCCCTGAGCACAGAATCCATAAATCTCGATATCCACCACGTCTCACTCAAAGCCTCAAAGACTAGGTTTTCTATTAAAGTTTATAAGCAGCGAGAATGGACAAGCGTATGTGTAGTTGGGACAATTGAATACTCGTTTGGGATGCACGCTGATGATTTTCAAATGCTCGCCTTCTGGTGAAGGAACTAAACTGGTCCTATGTGGCCAGTGAATGGTTGCTAAGGACCATAGATTGTTCTCAGCGTTAAGAAGACCTTTGCGACTAATAATATTATCTGAAAATTGAATGAACTCACAAGGCAGTGACTCGATTGTCTTCCGACGTGCCCAAGGGGGAGCGATCCGTGAGCATTCCCTTCCGTGACTATTTCCTTCCGTATGCGCCGCAGCCCAGCTGCGGCAATGAATCCGGCTGCAGCTGTGCGCCCGCCCCCCCCAACAGTCTGACTGTCGATGTCGGTCACCCCTGCCCACTGCGCCGACCCCCAGTCACGCCCCTTTCCAGGGACCATTTTCTTTGACCTTCAATGCGAAGTTGCTTTTTATTTATCAAAGTTCTTAGGCTGGGTGTTACTTTTACCACTGAGATGAATGGTGTTATTTTCATTTTTTGGAAAACTTTATAGAGGTGAAATCATTTCTCAGAGGGTTCAATATTAAATTTATTTCAAAGCCCAAACTTTACGTACAAAGCCAATAAATGCACATAGTGTGCAAAGAAATCACACACATTTAATGCTTTGTATACTTTTTATTAAGTTGATTTATAATAATTTCCCCAAATTTTCCTATATAAATACCCATCGCAGCCACTCTAAAACAGATAGTACTTAATGTGCTAAAAATAGAACAAAACAAATCGAAGTCCGGGGAATTCATATGCCACCTGCTTTATATTTTTAACCTAAAATAGAACCAAAATGGCAGGAAGCTGCTGCTGGGACAGTGATATACGTATTAGCCAGGACGCTGATAAAAGCTCAGTGAATCTGAAATAAAACACAGTGAAAATCATCGTTTCCCACTAGAAATCACTGTATTGATGAGGACCCAGGGCCTTCTCTTGGAACGCAGACACTAACTCAGCAGGGGATGATTCTAGCAGAATCCTGAGCAGATTCTCACTCACCGCCAGGCATCTGCGCGGGTATTCTGTCACTTTCGACCGGTAACCTGGGTCCTCTGCTCCCTGCAGGCCCCGAGGCCCCGGGAGACGCATGTCGGGAGGCCCTGCCCGCGGCCTGCCTGGGGCCGCTGGGAGCCGCGCCGCTCGTGTCCCGGCCCGTCGGCTCTGCGAGGCGCAGCTCGATGCAGTAGGTTTCAGGGCGTGGTGTCTCGTGGCTTGTGAGAAGGATGCTCGTCCGGCAGTTGGCAGGACTCGGCAGGACGCGACATGATCGGGGGAAAAATGTGCCGGGATCAGGGCGAGGGCGTCCACTTTGTGAGGACAGGTGGCAAATGACCGGGACAGCCGCCAGGAAAGCCGGTCACGGTCGTGCGGCCGAAGAGTCGCTCAGGGCGCCCATCACCATCCGTCCCGGGAACAACACGGTCACCTGTGGGTCGGCCTTCCGCGCAGAGGCGCCAGCGGAGCAGAGAGAAGCGGCCAGCGGGCCGGGGAGGTGGCAAGTCCCGGGGAGCGCGGCGGCTCAGGTCTCAAGGCGCCCCAGGCGCAGCCGTAACTCAGCGAGGCGTTGCAAGTGGTTCTGCTCTGCGGCGCGGGGGCCGCCGGGGGCGGGGCCGCTGGTCAGTAGCAGCTCAGGGGACCGCGGCCAGGGCGCAGGTACCTCAGGGGCGGGAAGGAACTGCGCACAGAGCTCAGACCCCAGGGGGTTCTCGGAAAAAAGCCGCGCGGTGCGCAGCTCACGGGCCTGGAGCTCGGGGATGCCCAACTTCTCATCCCACAGTCTGGGGGCCAGCAGCCGCTGGCGGCGTAGCAGGATGGCGAGACGCCACCGGGAGTGAAGCCAACGCTGCGGTAGCTTCTGGGCCCCCGGCGGCCGGGCCTGCCGCGGCGCAGGGGCCCGGAGCTCTCGCGTTCGCCGCGGAGTGGCCCAAGGCGGTGGCGGCCGGAGGCGAGGGCCTGGCACGCGGCGGAGGCACACAGGCTGGGCGCGCGGGCGTGGAACGGGTGCCCCTCGGCCTGGGCGCGTGGGTGGCCGCGGCGTCCCGGCCCGCCCCTGGCCGCCTCGCAGGCGCCGCGCGGCGTTCTCCCCGCAGTGCAGGCCCCGGGCTGGCGGCTTGGCGCGTGGCCCCCGGCGTCCGGGCCGTAACCCAGGAGCCACAGGGTCCCCTGGCAGCTGCTGGGTAAGCAGGGCCCCCAGGTGCAGCTCACGCCCCGGGAGCAGAAGGCCATGGGAGCCACCCCTGGGAGACAGCAGGGAGCGCGGCAGGGAGAGCCCGCGCCGTCCCCAGGGCAGCCCAGGAGGCACATGGGGCCGAGGGCGCGGCTCAGTGCGCGGGCCGTGGGGGGCGCCCACACGGGTTCTCCTTATATCTCCCCTGGCGCCCGTGGGCAGCGCGCAGCACCGTCTCATTAGCGTCAACGTGTTGTTGAGCCACCCCGCGGAGGCCTTGCACTCAGGGAAGAGCACATTTGTTTTGATGCTTCCCAGTGCCCATCCCCGCCACACTGGCCGATGACTCAGGTCGCAGGCCAGGCCTCCGGTGGTGTCACTGGTAGCAGGCAAACTGCCGCCTCGCCTCTCGGAGAGCGGTTAACGAGGGTCAGCGCCTCCGCGCCTGGTGATTAAAGCGTTAACGAGGAGTCCCCCGGCCGCGAGCTGGCACTTCTCCAGCCTCCTGACCCCGGCAGCCCCGAGGGCTGGGTCCCAAAACAGGCCGGTCGCTGTGGCCAGCCGCGTGGCTGCTCCTCCGGAGGCCGAGAGGTTGAACCATTATGAGAAGGGGTCGTTCCCCCAAATGTGTCCCAGTGGTTGCTGTGCCAGGCCATGCCCTGGGGACAGGGCCTGTTCTGACATGTTGGGAAAGGTTCCGCCCGCAAGAATCCCATCGCAGAGACGCCCTCACAGCCCCGCCCCTGCCCCCCCAGAGCTGGCGACCTGCCCGGGGACAAAGGGGGACCTGTCCCCAGGGGCTGCGGTCGCCGGGGGACCCAGGCTTCTATGAGATGGCTCTCCTAACGAGTTCCTGCAATTAGTAACCGCCAACGGACCAGCTCCTCAGGACTGCGCCTTCCGAACAAACCAGCGTTGTGCCCCCTACGCCCCTCGGTCGCTGCTCCGAGACCCAAGTGCTGCCAGGTGGGTAGCGTTTGGCTCCGTTTCTCCCAAAACAGGTTTCGCCATTCTCGCTTTCCTTTTTTTATTTTCTGCACACGGACTGTGTTGCATTTCTGTGTTGAAGAATCCGTCGCTATTTTGGGTCTATACCCACAACAGGGAGTAGCCACGGTTAAAATTTTATTGGAATAACCTGCACAGGCGCCGCACCTATGAACTCACAGTCTCCACCACTGATGGTGCAGGCGGGAGGAAATTTTTTGAGACTTTCATTTAAATGAAAGACTTGGCGTTTTGTTCCTGACACTAGAGACTAGGTTTCCCACGTGCGGCCTCTGCGGAGCCGGAGTCTGCGACGCACCTGTGAGCCACAGGGCCTCGGGCGTGGGAGGGACAAGCTGGGAGGTCTCCGAAAGCCGAGGTCGCCAGGGGAGACAGCTGGGTTTTCCTCCCCGTTCTCTGCTTCTCGGCCCAGTGTCCCAGCGGCCCACCCCCTTAAGCCCACGCACGCCTGCCAAACATTTCTTTCGAACGCGGGTTGTCTGGCGGCTTCTCGCAGTATTTATTCTGCAGGCGACACACTTCCTGTGTAAACAGCTCTCTATTAAACGCGGCCAGCTGTCTGGCGACGCGTCTCTCGGGTGGAAAGGTCACGAGCTGGGAACCGCATTTTCATCACGTTGTTTGACTGTAGAGCATCCTGGGATTTGGTGCAGGAATACTCAGTCCTGAGGCAGGCAAATAGAAAATAAAATGGATACAGCCACCGATGGCCAACTCGCCACTGACTTACTGGATCCCCGTGGTGCATAGGAGCCCAGAGGTCACCGGGTCCTCCTGTCCGCATCTCCCCATGACACCACAGCCGCCCCTGGTCTTGTTTCAGGCTTCCTTTTAGCTGATCTATAGGTGGGAAAAAACAGAATGGGTCAGTCCGTCAACTGTAAAGCTCACCTACCCCTCTCCTAACTTCACATTAAATTAGAGTATTTTAAATTAATATCGTCCACACAAGTGTAAGTCTAGCAAAGTAAATAGTGTGGACAGCACTCGGTGTAGCCAAGATTCATAGCTGGAGGCTTGACAACATGCTTCGATTTATTCGGGCGCAGTGATGCTCTGAACAACCAAACACGAGACGCGCAAAGGGGAGTCTCGGCCTGGGCGGGCGGCATCGGCCCCGGGGCACGAGCGGCTCCCAGCAGCCGCGGGGGACCCCACCGACCCGGGGCGCTGTCCTCTGCGGGCTTTGGAGAGGCAGACGCCTTGTCTGTTTGCACTTGATTCCTAAAAGAATCTTCCTTTCCATTAATTCCCGTATTTGTCGTGTTTTCTGTGTGCGGAAAGGTGAACAGAATGCCGGCTCAGGCGCCCACTTCCTTGTCCCCAGAACCACGCCTGTGACCTCATACGGCAGAAGGACCGTGGAGGTGCGGCCAAGCTAAGGACCTTGCCATGGGTGGGCTGCTGACGACGGTGGACGTTCCTACGCGGGGGAGGCTGCGGGTCGGGCAGAGAGAGGCAGCGGTGGCTGGGGGGCCCAGAGCGGAGCAGGCGGCCACCCCCGGAGGGACGCTGGCGGCTTCCAGGGGTTGGGGACACAGGGACGGCCTTCGTTCCGGGGGCTGCGGGGGTCAGCCCTGCTGATGCCTTGACATCAGTTCCGTCAAACTGAGTGCGGTCTCCAGCCTCTCAAACTGTCAAAGAATGAACAAAGAATGAATTCCTGCTGTTTTAAGCCGCCACATGTGTGGCAAGGTGTTTGAGCGGCCGCAGGAGACGGATGCTTGTCACGTGGGAACAGCACAGGTAAGCGGCCGAGGGCCTTTCCGCAGCCTGCGGAGGCGGCATCCCGTATCCAAGGCACGTGCAAGGGGCAGGAAACAAGCCTGCCAGCCATGAGGCACTGTCGAGACACCCTCACGCCCTCTGAAGAATAAGAAACAAACTCTCTTATCTGACGAGGGAGCTGATTCTTCACAACCCACTAAGGGAGGATCGTGAAGCTTTTCCCCGGTCCTTCCCAAAGGTCACGAATCCTAGGGGTGGACACAGGGGGTCAAAGAGAGCGCACGTTTCCAGTGAATGGCCCTCAAAGAAACGAGGGGAGGCCACCTTGCAGCCGTCTAGGCCGTGCGGAAGTTTTACCTTCCGTTTCTGCCACCATCTACACAGCCGCGTCCTCACGCCCCCGCCGCAGGCTGTGCGGCGACGCCGCCGCCGCCGCGCCCGGATGCAGCCCCACCTCCACCCCAGCAGGCCGATTGCGAGTGGTGAGCGAGAGCGATTCTTAGGGTTCACCGCGGCTGCCCAGGACGCCGGCCGCCCTCACCGCGTGGACAGTGTCGGCCTCACAAATCCGAAGTAGTTTCCACAGCCGAAGGGCAGGTGAACAAAACTAAAAAATTAGGGAACAGAAGTAAACGAGACAAAGCATTTTTAAACACAAGAGCACCCGTGGGCGGAGGGACAGGAGCGTGGGTGGACTTGCGCGGGCCTTTCAGGAAAGCGCAGGGTGCGCGGGAGGAGAGGCGGGTGGGCGGCAGCCACGCGGCAGCGCCGCCCTCCTGGGCCCCGGGGAGCTCTGAGCCGCCTCCTTTGCAGTGCTCTCGACACATGTTTATCCATGTGTAGCCTTGGAAGATGTCCTCTCTCCGGGCCTCTGGGCTGGCTTGTGCAAAGCCAGAGCTAAGAGCACCTACAGCCGTGTGCGGGGCCGTTGTGAGGATGGAAGGCGATAAGGCATGTGAAAGTACCTAAGAGAATGCATGACACACAGTAGGCGCAAAGTGAATGTTACTTTATAATTTTCTAAAGGTCTCATTTAGTCACCCATTAGACTAAAGAAAAATAGTGTTATTATTAATTTACTTTGATGATGCAAATACCCAAACTTACAACAGTCTTTGCCTTTTCTGAAAGTTAATGTCAAAAGTGAACAGTTCTACGCCATGTGGTTAAGAAAAACGCTGTGTTTGACGAGAGGCCTCGAATGGCGGCCCGCACGCAGCCCGCGCTCCCCCGCGCCGGGCGCCGCTGCCGCGGATGAGGCCCAGCGAGCAGAGCCCCGGGTTCTGACCGTGCCTCTGATCTCGCGGGGTAGCAACTAACCGCCAGACGTGGCTTCAACTCCGTTTCCACGTATTCAAAATGGAGTTGACAACAGTATTTTCTGCACAGGAGGGTGTGAGGATGCGTTGGGTTCGTCACGGGAAGGTTATGAAATACAGCGAGATGTACTTCGTGTGCGGTCGATGTTAACTTTTGTCAGTATCGTCAGCCCGCAGTCTTGTTAGTATTCTCCTTAAATATTATTATTGCTAGTTACAGGATCGCATCTAACACCCGCTGCATCTTGTGCGAGTGCGTCAGAACTGAAAAAGGACGACCGCACGTGTGCCCGGGAGGGCCGCGTTCCAGCTAGACGGCGGGCCGTGACTCCGTGAGCGCGGCGCACTGGAGATTCGGTTAGACGTGCACAGACACTACCTGTGGAGGGACGGCGGCGGCACCTCCTGCCGCCCGCACGGGAAGCACGCCTCACTGAGGGGACAGGCGTGCGCATCCCGCCAGGACCCGCCGAGGGATGCGGGCCGGCTGCGGCTGGGGCCAGGGAGAAAAGCGTAGCGCCGTCTGCGTGGCCGCTCTCGAGCTGAGACACAGCCGCCAAGCCACGGCCGGCTCCCACGGGGCTCCCAGATCTGTCCACGCCTACGTAAAGGGGGCCGTCGAGGACACGGGAACAAAGGGACGTTTGGAATCCGACTTCAGCGGGTCCTTGGGCGCGTGGCTCGCCCTGCTGGCACGTCCTTATGTGTGAAGACAGGCACAGCAACAGCTTCCACGGTGCGTGTGTGGGAGACCGCCCGTGGGTTATCCGGTGACGCGGGGCACGCAGAGGCTGACCGGCATGGCGGGGGGTGAGAAGCTGCTTGCGGGGGGAGCGCGTCCCTGCCGAGGGCCCGAGAGAGCCGAAGTGGGGGCAGGCGGACGTGCGGGAGGAGCGCGCTTCGCCCCACAGTGATGTTCCCGGGCGAGGGTCCCTGGCCGGGGATGTGGCTTCTCAAGTTCAGGAGGAAAAGGTAAAGCGGTGCTTTCCACTGCCCAGAACCGG